TCCTTATTGGTTCTTCCGGAAGGTCTTATGTACCATAAATGTAAAATAAGAAAAAAATAATAATATAATAAATGTTATGTGTGCTTAATAATAATGTACTGTTTCCCAAATAAGTATAAAGATAATAAATACAATAATTAATAATAAATGATTAATAATATTCTGGAAAGTCATATGATATTCCAGGAGGTTCCGGGGTGTTCCACAAGGTTCCAAGAAGTTCCGGAATGTTCCACAGTATTCCGGGTATTCCAGGATGTCCCAGGGGTTTCCAGTCACATGGCATGTGGCGCAGTAAAGCAGAAAAATTGTTACACACATATAAAATGATTGATTTTCTCAGGGACACTTCTAAGCAAGTGCTACTACAGCTATACAATAAGATTTTCAGTGAGAAAACTATTCAATCAAGCTAGAAAAACTCCACAATTGTGTTTTTATCAAAAAAGATTATATGGATATAAAGAATCTTAAACACATATTTCATATCATTAATTGAGTCAACTAGAAAAGTTTTCACAAAAATCATCAATACCAGGCTATAAAAATCCTAAATGAAAACAATATTCTGCCAAATGCCAGCTTTGTCGGATTAACTGATCAAAGCATAATAGAATCCCTAACAATCATAACATTAACCTTGAACATAGCAAAAAACTTGAACAGTGAGCTTTGGCTAGCCTTTTTTAACATTGCAAAAGCATTCAACTTAGTTAATCTTAACAGTCTCAGTACAGCTTTAAGAAGAATCAAAATTCCAAACAAACTTGTTAATATCTTTTATAGCTTACTTCACAAGCAAAAGCTTGTAGTAACAATAAACTTTGGCAACACTAGTAAACTGGAGGTGTCGAAAGGCTTGGATCAGGAAGAAACATTATTACTACTTCTATAGACTATATTCTATGATTCAATGGTAGCAACAATTCATAACTATTCTAAATTTCATTAATTCCATACAATATCCTGACATATATGAACAATATACTTTTGACAGCACACTCTCTGAAAAACCTTTAAGAACTGATAGACACCTTTTGTTCTTTTTTTAATCTTAATCATATTAGATACAACTCAGACAAAATGATATTAATTATCATGCTAGCTAACAAAGACCATTCAAGAAATATAGATCTAAAAGTAACAGAAACAGTGGTGAAACCCTTAAACTCTAAAGCTCTTTTCCAATACCTGGAAAACTTTTTTCAGGAGACTTAATTAAGAACATTCCAAATTAAATATGTATTAAGACCTTAGCCAAATCTTAGAAGCATGCTATAAACAGAAGTGAAACAGTCCATTAAGCAAGTTTTGAATTGAATCATTTCAAACAAGCTTGAGTATACTTTTATGACAACTACCTTTTCAAAACTACAAATGCAAAACCTTTAAGCCAAAACAAACAACATAATTAAACAAAAATTTAAAGTAGAAAAAACAATTTCAAATAAAATTGCATTCTTACAAGCTGAACTCAACCTGGTTTGCCTAATGGACAAACAAGAACTTATACTTATAAAACTTTTTATTATCAAGTTAACTAATACAAAACTTCAAGAAGCCATAACAATAGAAATTAACTCTTTATAATCCAGCTGTATTATTCAAAAAAGTTTTCTGTAACCTGAATCACTCAAGTGGCTACAGCATACATAAAATATCAAATCAGTGTATGTCCTTTTGCCTGTCTATTTAACCACCTCAAAGGCAAACAGTCCTTGAAACTCTACTTCTTCTTTAGTAATAAATACCTAAAATGTTAAGCCCTTAAAATATATAAAGAATGCATAAAGTTTCTGAAGGACCTTCTGATATTTCAGTCAAGTAGAAGATTAACTTGGCATGAGTTCAACACATATTTTTGCCCAATGCCAAAAGGTCCTATTTATAATTGGTTTATTAATATTGATTTTTACATAGATATGAAGAAACTTTGACTTGTATTTCAAATGCAAAAGCCAGATTTTGGGTATACATCAAAAACAATAAGTTTAACTTTATTAAAGTAAGAATTAATTATAATAATATGCAGCTTTTAATTAAGGGAAGCTATTACAAACTAGAAGCAGGAAAAACTTTTAGAAAATATCAATATTATACTAGCAAATCTCAAATAACTATTGCAGTTAAAAAAGCAATATCATTTTGGTCTTACAAGGCAAAAAATGAATACTGCCTAGCCAATGTACCAGAAGAGGTCTGGTTTCATCTACAGAACAAATCTATTCCAAGTTTCAATTTACAAGTAGAAATCAGTTTCCATGTGTATCAAGAGTTGTCAATATAACTTAACACTAATACATTAAAAGATCTTAAGCAAGTAATTAATTTCAACAAACTCTTTTTTCACTTTAACTTTGAGACCAAAAAAGAACTTCTAATAGTGTACAGTCACAATACGAATATTGCCCTTCATTCAGAAAACCCTTAATCAATTAATTTGCTTTTAGAAATAATTGGATTAATAGGAGCTGCTAATTATCAGTCATATATTATAAGAAACCTTCCAAAAAACTTAAATCTGCACATTTCATATTATTCCAACCAAAGAGTCAAATTCATATATAGTTTTTTAATAGGAATAATCAACTCTATATGCGATCTCAAAAACATAAAGCTAAAGCTAGAATCAAATTTAATCACCTCAAACTATAAGGACAATGATACAATTATTAGAATTGATAGCATTATTAAATCTGAAGATTATATATTAAGATTAAAAATAAATAACAAGTGGAGTTACAGTTCAAGTGTATGGATCAAAAAAATTCAATACATATTCAGACTCATTAACATTATAAACAGCACATCCATTAGTAACAAATAGAGGGCTAAATTGAAAGTGTCTGTAATTTAAACCCTTATTAAAATTAAACAAACTATTAATTAAAAAAGACAAAGTAAACTGCTTCTCCCTTATAGTCTTTAGAGCAATATGGAACTTTACTATTAAGACAGCTCTTGCATAACCATTATCCAAATATGTATATAGATAACTTATGTCCTAGATGTCTCACAGAAATAGAAATCCAAAGCTACATTTTTAAATACTATAAAAATATCATAGCTTATAATAAAATTGAAAACAAATTAAAATCTAGTATAATTAATCTTATTAGAAAAAACAGTTCCAATAAAGGTCAACCAGATATGATAGACCTTATATAAAAAACAAACTTGAAATGAAAAGTTGGGCTGGATAAATTAACATGTGAAATAACACAAACAGATATGCATCTATCTGCTACTGCCCAAGCTAAACTGGCAAACAAAGTATTAGTCTTATTGTTCTTACTAATTTAGATCCCAAGATCAGTAACAGTCAATACATCCTTAGTATCAGGAATAAAGTAACATAATAGTTTCCTTTTGACTAACAATACTAGTAAAAAGCAAACACAACAGGTACTACCAAATGATACAAGCCTGTTAAATTTAATAATAGAAGCAACAGATCCACAAGCTAGCTCTAATATTAATTTTATTAAATCACAAGTCTTGGTTTTAGCTCTGAAAGGACATTAATCATCTAGCATTAAAGTATATTATATGTACATAAGATAGTAATAGCTAGCACTGTAGATAGGTTAACATTAATTTATAAGTTTAGCCCTGTAAAGATGTTTGATATAATTTGGATATATTATATATATTAATAAAGTTTTGCATCTGATGCCCTTTTTTACATTAAAAAAAATTTTTTTTTATTTAATTATAATCAAATGGGTTGGTACACAGAAAAACCATGCTTTGAAAGATTTTAACAAAAATTGAGATTTTTTATCTATGATAAAAGTTTGGATATATATTAATTGTCCGAAGAACACTCTAATGTACAGCCATAGTGATCCAGATGTGTGTACCTTCCGATCACGTGATACATAGGTATCATGACAAAAATCTTTGGCATGATAGCGATCGATAGTTATGGTAATGTGATGAGTGTGGGAAACCATACAATCGTGTATTTACTATAAGCTGATTTAAACGATAGAGAATGAAGAGTGCACCAAGGAATATATGAATAGGGGATGTTGTTGCATGTGTTAGCGATAGTTCTTCGGACTTTAAATGGTTCCCATTTACCTAGTATATTATAATTTGTACAATCTCGTGCACAGTTTTTTAATTTTATATGGTTAGAAATTTAGATTGATAATCGTCGATATCTCCAAATAAGGTACCAATCCAAATAATAAGCTAAAATAATTATTATTAAAGTTACTGTCTTACAAGCTTTTCAAATCAAGTATAATTAAATCTTTTTAAAAAAAATATCAGTAAACAATATTATATCATGTAATATATTGTTTGTTAACTTTTAATACTTTTAAATAAATTAAATTATTTATCGACTAAATTACTTATTGTTAAATAATTTAAAAATAAAATTTTCAAATAATTAAGTTAAATCTAAAATTAATCTAATTATTTCGCCAAAGAGATGAAATATAAAAAATTATATATAATATACACGTAAGTTAAATTTATAAATTTATAAAAACAAAATTTTTTTACATTCCGGGTCTCCAATGGTCACCGGATATGGTGTGGACGTGCGAATGGTTACCGCTATATTTAACCCGGATGCTGACTCCGTATTCCTGTTAAAATATATATGTAATTACTGTATTTATAAGTGGAACTATCTTCCGTTATTAAACTTATGAAGGGTTGTAATTAATCCAAAAATTCAACTATTGAAGGTACAATACTTCAAGACAATATAAAACATGTGAAAATTTCGAATTCAGGTTAGAATAAGCTATATTGCAGCCCGAAAAAGTATTATGTTCTAACAATATTCTTCGAACTATACATTCAATGAGCTCGCAACCTGTTCGTGAACAAAGTTCATGAGTAAAAATAATATGATAACGTAATGTACATCATTTATGTATAAATTGGTTCCCTATAAATTTTTACTAATACTTTTGTTAATCGTACGATGTCTTTGTATGGTACCAACGTATCATATATATATACAGTATACTAGGTCCCAGATTATTTTCAATAAGCATGTACGCAATTAAGAGTTTCGTTGAGAATGGCCTGTTAAATGAGTTTGATTACAACGAATTCAAAAATATTGAAGTGATCTATGATGGAATTACAAGTGTCGTTAAACATGCTTATCAGGAAAGGAGAAAGGAAACTGTTGCAATTAAATATTCGAAAAAAAACGAGCGCGAATATCACGAGAAACTAAAAAGAGAGGTATATAAAACCATGATAATTTTGCGAGTTTAAATTCGTTTCTTAATTTATACTAAAAAATTTATGAATGATAGATCCTAAATTTGAAAAAAATTGAAACTAACGAAAACGTAATTAGTTTTCTTGGTGTTACCAAAGGTATTGTTTTTATGTGTATTTGTCTATACGACGAGTTATTCATATAATAATATATAGTATCACCTTATTCTTAGATCATCAGACAAAGTATTACTCTATGATAACTCAATATTGTGGTGGTAAAAATCTTAGAGAAATTTTGAAAGACGAAAATGTCTTGACAAAAGGTTGGCCTTTTAAGATTAAAATGGCTATGGATATTGCCAATGGCTTGAAGTACATTCATAATGCGGACATTATACATTGTGAATTGGTTAGTATGTTAATTACGTTTAATATTATCAATCAACCGTCGCTAATGAAACCACCCTTATTAATTTATACTTTTAACCAAAGAACCCAAAGAACATATTAGACCACAACGGTAGATTGATTATAGCGGGTTTTGGTTCATCTTTAGAATTGGGTAGTTCGGCACTCAATATCGTTAATGCGAATTCAAATATTGAAGATATTGCTTATGTGGACCCGAAACTTTTTGATCATACAACTCATTATCGATATAACAAATCATCGGATATTTACAGTCTAGGGTGGATATTATGGGAAATATCAAGTGGTAGAACACCTTTTAGTAATAAACCTGAATTGAGCGTAGAGGAGCTATTAAGAATGGTTACACTTGGAGAGAGAGAAATCTCGGTGGATTCTATTCCGATAGAATATATAGATCTTTATTTTAATGCATGGGATAATGATCATAAAAAACGCCCATCAATCGAAGAGATAATTTGTTGTCTCGGAAGCGATGATATCGATAATGTTACGGAGAGGAAAGCAGAGAATTTGACTGATGAAAAACTAGATGAACGAAAAGTTTCCGATGGTAATATTCTTTATGACCCTAAAACATCATCTGAAATAGAACTTAATGGAAAAACCTTGAAAGTACACAAGAACTATCAACCGCTATTAGGTGAGACGATAGCCATTATTACACCGAAAGAATATGCCGAAATATGCGATATTCATGAGCTTCCAAGTATCTATAAAACAAATTTGGATAGCTGTACAAATGAGATTCTGCCTTACATTATCCAGAAGATTAAGATGTGGGGATGCGATGCACTTACAGCAAGTAGTATTTCAAGACTACTATTGAAAGAACCTAAGATGCCTTCATCTACTACTGTAAAGTCAAAAAAAGGACCCTCGTTCGGAAAAACATTAGGTTTAAACCTTGGCAAAGAGTTAGATAAAACAGCTATAACACCATCGAATGCATCTAAACGGAATAAAAATCCATTGAATCGATTTGATTGTATTGTCAGAATACTTAGCTCTGCAGAATGTACTGTATCTCAAGATATTCTACGAATAATGGCAAAATTTCCAATGGCTCTACCTCTTATAATGCCAGACATTGAACAAGAAAATGAATTTAAAGTGATGCTTCCACTCCTTACTAGCCCTGTAATCAAACGGGAAGTTAAATATAGCGTTGTTAATAGCTCTGTAATTAAACAGGAAGTTAAATCCAGCGTTGCTAAAAGCCCTGTAATCAAACAGGAAGTTAAATATAACGAGATTAACGAGATTTTTGAAAATCATCTTTTTTTAAGTCCATTCAAATTGCTTGTCGCTCTGCGGCTTGGCACGAATATTCCATCAGGGAAAAGTACAATTCTCAATCAATTGATGGCAACAGAACACATGTTTTCATCAAGTAGTGATCCTGGCGCGTCACGAGGTCAACCATATACCCTTTCTGGAAGTGTGGAATTTGTTTGGCTTACTCAAGAAACTTGTAATGACAGCTTGTGGAAAAGCGTTATGGAGCCATATTATAGAAGCATAAAAACCGAAGAAATCGTGTTACTAGCAAATTTACATGGTGACGCGTTAGAGTATAAGGAGCATATTAAATGGTTAGATCAGATTGCATCCAGGTTTTTGGTCTTTATTATGCCAAACGCTGGAGAGCAAGAGTGGATAGAATTAAGCGATATTTTAGATCCGGAAAAATTAGTCCACTTATTGGTAGATCCCCAATACAGCGTAGAGGATGAATTCATTGAAACTCGGAATTTAACAAATGATGATACATTGGAAATAGTACGAGCTAAATTTAAAGATGCACTAGAATCAAATATTTTCGATATTGATATCAGCAAGATCATGTGTGAAAAACCATTAAAATTAGCAGAGAATGTTTATTGTGATGAATCTCGAAGAATTGTGAACTTTATTAAAAAGAAATCTTGTTATAGAATAAAAAAGATCATAAAAAACCGAAATCGACCTAGGGTTGGAGACGAAATAAAAAATACAGCAAACAAAGATCGCGATAAAAGATTATTAAAAGAATTAATGAAAAATTTTGAAAGCATTTTGATGTTACCACTTGGTGAAAGGAGAAAGGCCATGGCACATCTAGAGCGAGGTCTTAGTGAAGTTTCGGAAAAAGAATCATCAGCAGTCCGAAAAGATCTCTTAAGATCAAAGGGAGATCTTATTCGTGAAATGGATCTAATAAAAGGCGATAAAGATAAGATAAAAACACTTAGAGATCAAGTTAATGCTTTTTTAGAAAAAGTTGATGACGTAAGTTTAGGCTTGGAGCATTTCTTTCGCGAACTTGGAAAATTTTACGAAATCTCTCTTGATAACCAATATAATCCCGCTTTGCGATTACCAAAGTCTTGTGCGGAGTTGTTTGTTGATAATCACGCAATTGAATTGATTGACGGCGACGCTGATGAAATGCAAAGTGTTTGGCTATCCGCGATTTTTAAAGAGATCGATGCGTTGTTCCCTAATTTGCGTATTTTTGTTGTATCCATACTCGGTCTGCAATCATCGGGAAAGTCTACCCTTTTGAATGCCCTTTTTGCCTGCAGATTTGCAGTATCTGTAGGGCGTTGCACTCGAGGCCTTTTTATGAGGTTGCTATTTTTAGATAAAAAACTCCGCGATAAAAACAATGTGGATGCGATTCTTCTTATTGATACAGAAGGTCTTGGTGCCCCCGAAAAGATGAATGATAAATATGCAACACAGAAAGATCGGAGACTGTCAACATATGTAATGGGTATTAGTAATTTGACATTTATTAATCATATGGGAGAATCCATGAATGAGTTAACCGAGATCTTACAAATTGCAATCGTTGCAATGGCGCGTTTAGAAGAGAATAACATTGCACCCGATATCTTTATGATACAACATCTTACTGAAAGTAATACGGGAAAATCTTTCTCGGGACAAACTCAATTCTGTGAAGCTCTCCGAAAAGCTATAGAAATCACAAACATTAAAGATTCAGAGATAGGAATTACAAATTCGAAATGCCTAAATGAAATAGATAGGAGAATTCAAAATGGAGATTTTATCAAACAGTTTCGTCCCTTAAAAAATGGTTCAAGTTCTTACGCTCCTCCGTCAGAACAATACCATGAAGACGTGGTCAATTTGTATAAAGATATACTTGACGCATGTGGACGTCCAATAACGTTTAATAAATGGTATACACTCGCTAAAGGTTATTGGGAGTGTGTTAAAAACGAAAATTTTGCTACTCAGTTTAAAAATATCAGTGAAATGTATAACTTTATGGAGTTAAGCAAAAATATTGAAGAAGTAAAAGAGGCTGTTAATTCAGATTTTCGAGCCCATGCCAAGAAATGTGAAGATGATATTCGAAATGAATTTTTATTCTTATCCCAACAAAATGGATCCAATAGAATGCAAGCTATAGAGCATAACGTACGTGAAGGTTGTAAGGTCAAGATCATAAATCAATTAAAAGTGGCAATGAATGACGAAATTTGTAAGGAATGCCAAAATGCGATAAATAGGATAAACCAATTCAAAGAATATTTGCAAGAAAATGAATATTTAGAAGACAAAACACGTGAAATTTTGGATACTATTAAGGAACATATTGATAGTACACGCAAAGGTACAGAAGCACATCTCACTCAGATTATTGACGCAAAAATCATTGAAACGGGCTGCAACACAGAATTTATGGATGAAATTACAACCAGTCTAGAAATAAAATTGAAGGAGAGGCCATCGGGCAAGTATAATGATAAAGAATGTCGAAAATTTTTTGAAGAAATTTGGAAGAATTTGGAAAAAATTGCAACCGACAAGAATAATATACCGCCAGTTGAAGATCGAATTTTAAATGAAGTAGAAAATGCATACGGAAATCTATCAACTGTTCGCGATCAATTTCGTAATTTCATTACAAACAATAATATTGACCAAAGAAGTACGAATAATACATTTTCAGATAATGTTAAAGGATTCTTTTTTAATATTTTTTCGAACAAAGTACAGAAACAAAAGGAAATAGAAGGAATTTTAAAAGAAGAGCTCAATGAATTGACTGATAAAATAATGGAAATGAAAGGCACAGGTTACTTTGAAAGTGGGATGATAAATAAACTTAAAATCCGGGTGGACACGCTAATTAAAGGGTTTCAAGTTCAACATGCTCTATTCAAAAATGGAGATGACAAAACTAAATGGCATTTACACGTTGAAACTTTGAAAATTTTTTATAATAAAATTGTAATAGCTCAACATAAGTGGGATGAAAAAAACAACCCACTTAAGATACTTCAAAAACGGAAATCTGATTATGAAACTTTCATCATCGGACGACTTCAGAAAGATTTTTCGGCTGTTTCTGATGGTATTTTTGTTGCAAATTGTTTACTTAAGAAGATCATGATTATGGCTGCGGAAAAGGCTAACAGTGAAAGAAAGAGTAGAATACTCAAATTTAATTGGATAAAAGATGTCACACATTTACGGTATAACTATTTTAAGCAACTCGCCATGAGAGTCAAAGAGAATAAAGCTCTTGATCACTTTTCAAACCCAAAAGATAGTATCGAAAGTTGGTTTAGTGAAATAGTAAATGAAAGTCATTGCGATGTTCTACAAGAAATATATGAAAAGACCTTTAAAGAAAAATTCCAAGAGATAAAACAAAAAATAGAGACCAATTCCGAATTTCCAGAAAATTTAGATGTAATTAAAAGTTATCTGGATGAAGCAGATATTATGGCGTTTAATATGATTGAAGAAGCAACCGATAAGAATATAAAAGTGTTTCAGAAGAGTATATTAAAAACATTAGACGATGTTAAAGAAAAATATGATTTTAAAAATATTAACTTCTGTAATCCATCAGAAGACGATGATATAATGAAAAAACTTGGCTGCACATATTCGTGCTTTTGGTGTGGAGCTCTCTGCTGGGGACCGCGAGGACACAAAAATAATATTGATGAAACAAAAATGCATAGTACATGCCACCAGCCTCAAGGACTTACAGGAACACATATTATAGGTACCAAAGAGTTAAAATCATGGCCATGTCATCTAATAGATGATAACGTTGGTTTTAGATGGGGAGGAAGAGAAGACTTTGTGAAATGGGGTGTCACAAAGAGAGAACATTTTCCTGAATGGAAATTTAGCGAACATCACAACACTACACTCAATAAATTAATGTGCTGGTTCTTTCAAGAACTGAACGAGAAGATAGCACAAAGTAAAGGTCTTGCCCCGGCAAGTATAAGTGAATTGCAAAAATACAGATGCGATGGATTGGAATATAGTAGGATTATGAACGAGTTATACTCAATATTTGAGTAAAGAAATAAATTTTTATTCTCCATTTATATTAGTATAAAATGAATAAACTTGGTATTATATTTATGAAAATTATTGACATGTGTATTTTTTTTTTTTGAAATAAAAAAGTTAACGACAAATTTTCGTGTTCTTTTATTATTGATTATGTAATCAAAGTTGCATATATTGATCAGCTCATGTTTATCATATAAAGTTGTCGCAGAAACCTATTTCAATAATCTAATCATTTACTATTGAAATACTCTCGAGAAATCAGATGATAAGCACAATCCTATTCAGATAGTTAGGATACTGGCATTTATATTGTGAATATTATCTTATTAAAGTAAAAAATGCAAAAGGAAACTTTACTTGATTCAAATTTTTACGATAACTAACAGTAATCTTCATATAAACACTTAAGTAGGGTTATTAATTGAGTGGGTTGGAATGATTTGGTGTGATAAATTATACAAAACTAACTCAATTCAATTCAAACTGATACTCCGAATTAATAACCCGGGTTTATTATTTGAAACTACTCTGAAGTAATATTTGGAATTATCAATTTTAAAATAATAAAAGCATGCTGTAAAATTAATAATTTATTTAGTTCACTATTAATTTGCTCGACATATACAAATAATAAAGTAAGCTTATAAAATTTATCCTTTTAATCAATGATTGTTTTGGGATTTTCTATAATTTTTAAATGATAAAAATATGCTTTAAATGACTTATTATCTATCAAGAATAATAATTAAATCTCATTTCTTATAAATTTGCTCAACAAATGTATTAACAACAAAGTATGTCTGTGAAAACTAATAATAATTTACTCAAGTAGAATCAGATACTGTATTTTGTTTTACAAAATTTTCTTAAAATCTATATTACTAAAGCACTAATCTCTGTCCATTTTAAGCTATTTTATTCACCAGTAGAGAATAGAATTTTTTTATTAAACATATCATTATATCAGTTACGGGTAGCATTAAGACTACTAAAACTATTAATGTAATATGAAAAATAAATTTACATCAAAAAATCGAATTAATATTATTTTAAGAACTATTTAACAATATGGCAAAAATAGATAGATATATTTGTGTGTTAGTGACTTTCCAAGTTGAAAGCAGAGAAATAAAATTGAAAAAAAATTACATATATTGCGGCACATTGTTTGGCAGTATATCAATTTCGGTACAGTTAATATCAAAGAAACAAATGTAAACGCTCAAGCGACATCCAAATTCAAGATATAACTAGGTTAAAACCAGTATGTTTCCATTACGAAATATCAATCATACTCAATATTTATCTTATATATAAATGCTGCGATTTGGCTTGAGAATGCTTGTGCAATTTAACTAATCTAACCATTATGAAATTATGTGAAAATCTTCATGAAAATTATAATATAATCAAATAAAGTGTCATTAAATGACATCCAAATAACACATGCATCATTAAAAAAGAAATATTTATCGGTGATATAACAATCCGAGTTTTTATTTTTTTAATATACCACTAAACATAACATATAACTTGCTAGTAGCTAATGCCAAGAGTATGAAAAATATTGTTAATAATACTGTATAGCTAAATTATTCAAAACGCAATTAATGGAAGCATTAGATACCAGGTGACTGAATAAATAGGAGGCCAACTCTTTCACTATATAAAAAAAATGAGATGATACTTAATAAATGAATTAAAATAAATTAATAAGAAAATATAATTCCCATTTATTAAAATTAATTTATCAGGCTTTTAAACAGTTTTGGCATAAGGACCAGTGGTTGGTGGGAAATAAAAATAATGTCAGAGCATCATTGATATTAACGCGATTATGTATGTACTTAGCTTACAAACCTTTGTTTTTTTATGGCACATGTAGCATGTTATCTCACAGAACAAGAACGAAGAGAAGTAGATAAAAAACAATTTATTTTTAATTTTAAATATAAACACAGATATAAGAATCTGCATTATCTGTTAGTATTTTTATATTCGATATCGAGAATGGTAAATCATCTCTAACATATTGCTTTGCAATTCAGAAAAAAATAGTTTAATTATATTATTGATCATACTTCATTTACAAGTTCTTAATAAAAGTAGTGTTTTACAAGTATATATTTATTTTTGCATATTTATTAAGTAAGTTTTAAATAAGTTATCAATCAATCTTTGATTGTTCATTACAGATAGCGAGCTTTCACAAGTATACAATATATTTGTCGAACAATTCTTAAGAAAATAGATTATTCCAAATGAGTCGGGTTAACCCAAAAATCAACTCAAAATTTACATTTCGGGTTGGATCAAATCGGGTTTGACTCACTTCAACTCATTTGATCCGTTTGACCCATTCGATATTTTCTTAAAAATATATATCAAAATATATGTTTAATTTTTATAAATAATTTAATGTATTTAATTTTTATAAAGCTAAACATTATTATAGATTTCAACTTTATTATTAAATATAATAATGATAAACATGTATAAAATTTTAAAATACATCATCTTCCAAAAAGTATGCAACACCTGATCGTCGATCTTTAAGTGTAAAACTTTGATCAGATCAGATCAAATCACGGCGAAATCAATTGTATAGTCTAATCTATTCAGTGTATACAGTAGAATAGTGATTAAAATAATAAAAAAAAATTTATAATGCAATTAATAAAAATTTACTGTTACATGACTTTTGGCATTTTTTTGTAAAGATATAAAAATGCAAAAATTTACTCAAACCTTGTATAAACCAAATGTCCTTAAGACAGTTATCTATAGAGAAGAGAGCAAAGGCCATTATCTTATTAGAAGAAGGTTATAGTTTATATCAGGTTGTTGCCAAAATTGGTAACAATGTTCATTATTTTATTATATTTAGACTTAAAAAAAATATCTTGAAACAAACAAATTAGAAAATAAACCTATTCCTGTCATCTGTCTAAACTTATTCTATATGAGAAATGTATTATTATCCAAAATATTCTAAAAGAAATATGAAAAACTGCCATGGATATATATAGATTGAAAAAACATGAAAGAATAAATATTAGTGTCAACACAATTTGAAAAATTCTTAAGAATAATATATTTAAAGCTTATACATGGCACAAGAAATTTTTTTTAAATAAAAAACATAAAAAAATCTGATTGGAATTTTTAAAATTACATAAAAACTAGACTATAGAAGATTGAAATATGATGATCTGATCTGATAAAACTAAATTTCAACTTTTTGAAGCTGAAGGATACAAATATTGTTGAAAAAAATCTACAAAACCTTTAAAAGATTAATATATAATTCCTACAACTAAATTTAATAAAGATAGTATTAATATATGAGAATGTTTTATTTATTACAGTATAGAATATTTATCTAGGATTAGAGAAAATCTTAATGTAAAACTTTATAGACAAATTTTGAAAAAGAATTAATATATTCATTAAGATATTATAATTTAGTTTTCAAAGATATTATATTTTAATATGATAATAATTCTAAAAATAAGACTAAAACAATTTAAAGATAGTTAAAAAATAATAAAATTGGAACTATTTCTTAATCATCAAAATCTTTAAATTTAAATTCAATAAAAAACATCTGAAATAATATAAAAAAAAGAGTTAATTAATAATCTAGATATTAATATTAATGATAAAAAAACTTTCTGAAATAATTTATTAAAGATTTGAAATAAACTATTTGAAAAAACTTATGAAGAATATATACAAACAATACTTAAAAGAATTAATGATATTATTATGACAAAAGATAGTTATATAAAATAGTAATAAAAATCAAATATATTTTTATAATTATATATATATTATCAGGGGTGAAAATTGTAATGTGATGCCAGTTATGTAATCAATCATTGTGTTGGTGCCAGGAAGGATCCATTTCTATTATAGATCTTTAAAATGATATAATGGAAAATGTAAGTGATAGTGATAAGAAATAGTTAGAATAGTAGTAAAGTAGCATGTTAAAGAATTAGGTAATAAGAATTGTGAAAACAATCGAATATTATAAAACAATTATAATTGAACATTATGTAATTAAGAAGCATTATGAGAAGATATGAAATAATTAATATTACTTTTATTTTTAAAATGTAAAACCATCTCAATTAAAATGTATAAAAAGAGGAAACTAAAAATTAAATAAAGAATACAAATTAATAAAAACAATCTTTTGACTTGACCAAATATTTCATACCTTAAAGTCTGCTAAGACCTTTTATCTCATTGACAGTTATGTAATATTATACTCATTTTAGTGACAAACTTGCCGATTGACTATCACAATATATATATTATAAATAAATAAAATTTATTATTTTTTTTGAAAAACTTCAAAAATAATATAACAATAAATTTTTTATTAATTTAATATTTATTTTAACATATAGTATATATTATTTAATTATACTTATATTATATTTATATTATAAATTTTATTATAATTTGATTTGTTTTATTTAAAATTTTAGTATTTAAAGATTACTAATCAAATATGCAATCTTTTTGAAAGATATTATATATTGAATAAGTAAAAAGTAAAAGATATATATATAAATATTTAAATTCTAAACAGTTAACTATTATTTCTGATATTTTGAATACAATAACTTTTTATATAATCTTAACTAATAGCAAAGACCTAATTTCAATATAAATAAATAAACTTTATATTAGGCAATCTTCAGCTATAGATAAGTATTTTGACAAACTTTTATAAATCAGTAAGTAATCTTATAAACTCACAAAAAAACTTGATAAGTTTAATAATATATTTAATATTATGTTCTACTTTCAATAAATTCTTCCTTTAATAGATTTTTTGCTTGTATCTTAATTTCTTTTTCTGCTTTCCTTTCTGCTGAATATGGTTATATATAATAAGGAGCCCATTTTTTCTTGGGTTTTAATTCAAATATTATATCTTTCATTATTCCTATCTTATTTACATGTTGTCCAAACACATCTCTGTTCTCCAT